ATATTGAGATGAAAGCCCATTACACACACTTCAAAGCGTTTCTTATCTTTACACCCAAAAAATATATTTAAAATTATGGCTAATCTCTAGTATAAAATGTAAATTCTGCCGAATTCCACATTGTGTTTTACAATACTATTGGCTCATAAATGCGTAAGCGGCCCGTCTAAAAGACGATTAGGTGTCAGGTGTTGACGGTGGCTCTGGTGCTAAAGTTTTGCTATCTGATTTTAATTATGCTCGGTAGATTACCGTGGGCGTCTCACTACTTCTTCGCTTTTACTATATTGTCTACATTGCAGATCAGCCACCGGGGATTTTCGACTTATATGAAATGGCTTAGGCTTTGTACCTAATTCCCTGGCATGGTAGCTTTGGGCGTACCATTTTACTGTCCTTTTGTCAATGCACGCCTTATTATATTTCCTATTTATATGGGTGGTGTGTTTTGTGTTCCCACTACATGTTTTGCCGAATTTCTATCTTCAGTTGTGCTATTTGCAAGCGGTTGCGTAAACCGCCTAATATTTCTTAGTGCTACTATCATGATATGAATATTTGCATTTTTTTTGGCCTAATTAAACACTGGATATTATGCATTGTTGTCATTTCGAGTCATGTCCCGAAATTATATGACTACTGGTGATCGTGACCCTCTGGAGATTGATTGAGTTTCTTTCTTACAAATTTAGTTTCTCCTGGCTCAATGACGGTGGTTGTGGGATAGTTTTCGTCAAATGAGCATCGGCAGATCCCAACAAGTGCCACAGGCACCGGATGCATATCCACTCGCGGGAGGAGGGGACGATCTGATCACCTCCTCCCCACCTCTCTCTTCTCCTCCGCCTCCTCATCCTATTGTCTCAAACTCCGTGACAATCTCTCCGCTTTCGCCTCCAGTGACTCACTTCACCACTCCCAAACTTGTTGGTGATGGAGACTATGATGTTCAAGGTGACGATGATGACGCATTCTACTATCCCGAACTTTCCACAACTGACGATCCTTCCCCAGTCTCCCCCATCTCTGGCTGCACCTCGTCCCGTCATCGGCCTCCTCCACCTCCGCCTAGCTCTCGTCACCAAAAACTCTTTGGGGAGATGGAAGAAGATGAAGAGGAAGTTGAAGTTGAGGAGGACGAATTGGATCCTGATGATACCGAAATCCCTCTCGATGCTGGTGGGCTCTACCGGCGACTTACTGATGATGAGGCCGTCGCCGTTGTCGATACCAACAACGACGGAGACGCAGGTGGTGGGGAACGCTCGCCCTCTCTCTCCTCTGCACTATCACGAGTTGCTGCTGAGGAATTTTCTCTCTCCTCACAGAGAGTCACGCGTGCTGGCGAGGAAGCACTGGATCCTGTGAACAACGCCCTATCTCGGCTTATGGGTGCCTCCATGGCGGCCGCCCAAGTCCAAGCAGCAGCAGTTCAAGCAGCCGCTGCAGCTGGATTAGATCATTATGATGCTGCCATTCGACTTCCCCTTCCAACCGGCTTGAGAACTGATGTGGCGCCGCTCAAGAAACTCTCTGTGGATCTGATCAAGACATACAAGCAGATCAACGAGGCATGTTTACTCCTTGTAAACACAATATTGTTACATTGTCAGCTCTTGTGGAGGTAAGAGCAGGGAGAGCGTATATATTTGCTTACCTAATTAATGTAGATGAGTGGCCGTGAGTGTGCTTGCAATGGAGAGTTGTGGAAATATATTTAACAGTCGGATTCCTTTCTGCCAGGTGTACTACCGGAAAAAGCGGCGATCGAGAGAGAGGCGGCAAGGAAGTTCCAGTCAGGTACAACAACAGCAGCAGTCGCGTCGACATTCACACTACCTGGTGGATGATGGGGCATTGGAAGATGTTGGAATGACACAGCCACCTTCTTCTAGCGAAACCGATCTGCTCTACACAAATGCGCCCACTGTGGTCGATTCCGGCAGCGGATCGGTAATACCCCAGTCCTACTACCAGCTCAACTATCACCACTCTACAACTTCCGATTCCATGCCACATCATCACCAACAGCAACACCCTCTTCCTGTTGATCAGGTCGTCCAAATGCATGCACTCACTTCGAAGCTGGGAGACATGAGTACGTCTTTGCTTCTGAAGTCTAGAGATTTTCTGCCCAATCATTAACTGAGCGTTATTTGGCTCAGGTATCTACAATGAGGGTACAAGTGCAGGTGATGAAATATCCGGTTTCGGGAATGTGGGCTTCGCTCCATCTGGTCTGCCCCAGCATCGTCCTCGCACGAATCGCTTAGGTCAGCAAACACAGCAGCAACCACCGTTCTTAACGACCACTCGGGGAGGAGGAGGAAGCGAATTTTACAACCCTCACCACCATCAATTACATCATATTCAACAGCAGCAGGTGGCGGCTAACTATTATCAAAATCAGGCGGCCCTTTTAGAGGTCACCAGTAGATCTATGCAGCATCCGTACGCCAGTGGCAACACTTACGCAAACGCTGTTGACTCAGTGGCTGCGGCGGCTAGTGTGAACAACGTTCTCCAACCGCCCATCTATGCATGTGAGTACTCCTAACTCATTATTATGCCTAGCCTTTTGTACCTGAGTCACATGTCCTTTAAAATGTCTATTGCACTTTACACTATCGGGTTTATCTGGTCCTCCGAGGCGTTTTTACTTTTCGTTGTTATCTTTCAGTCGTTCTGTTTCGCAGTTTCTTTCTCATCTTAACCATCGGACCAAATTCCTAATCGGCACGGGGCTTTAAGCCTTCAGACGGTATGAAAGTGGGTTTTTGATGAAGTGAATGCTCATGACGAACAAAATTGGTCTTAATTTATGGTTGATTGGATTATACTCTACGGTATCTGCTGGTTTGTTCGAGGTAGTCGACTCTGGTCGAATTGAGCTTTAATGTGGATTTCATTCAAGTAGTTCCAATTTTCATATAAGTCGTTTGACTCATGCGAATGTTGATGCCTCCAGGGAAGTCTTAGTACCTTGCTTTCCATTTTAATTCGATTTGGTGTTCGTATTTTTCAATGTTAGTTTTTGGTTAATTTCTACCTGTGGCAAATTCCTAGGTGACTTTCGAATTGCATACTTAACTTGGAAGTCGATAAAGCAAAAAAAAGAGTTCATAAGTACAGGTGTATTTTGAAGTCTAATGGACAGATCATTGGCTTTGGATGAAATTATAAAAGCAGCATAAATGACGTTCGCTAATTGCGAATTTATGCGTTCGTGAGTCGATTCCATTTCTGCGTTGAAGTCGCTTTCCCAAAGAATCACGAAATCAGCTCTTAATATTTTTAGCTTATAAATCTTCAAGCTTTGAAAGGCACTTCAGCTTATTTTTGGATGGGCTAGACAGGCCAGTTGCGAATTTAGATCTACTTTTTGTCTATGATCCCTAACGGGACTGTCTGAAT